TTTTATACATTGTTTTCATTTTAATTTCAATTTACATTTTAGTCATTTTGTTAGGTGCGTAGATTTTATATTGTATTATGTAGCTTTTTTCTTATATAGTTATAAAATTTCTAATATTTCTATATATATATTCAAATATTTATAAAAAAAATATGCACATACACATAAAAATACATGTAAATGTAAATTAAAATTGAATAAAAAAGTAACTGATCAAAAAAACAACAGATCCATAAACATTAATTTACAAATATAAATACAGAGCCATTATATATATATATATATATATATATATATATATATATATGTGTGTGTGTGTGTGTGTGTGTAGATAAAATAAATAAAAAATGAATATACACATACACATATAAAAATACATATAAATGTATATTAAAAATGAATAAAAACACAGAAAAAAATAAAAATCCATGAATATATAAAATGGATCTATATGTATATTTAAACAATTAAAAAATTTAAAATAGGGTTTCCTAAGGAAAATAGGGTTGAAAAATGTACCAAAAAAAAGAAAAAGAGGCAGTGCCGGTCCATGTTAACTACTATCACTCATCAGCAACAGCAGTAATCGGATCTTTAGAGGAAAGAAACTCTTTAGCAAGTCTTTGAGGAGCTAGGCCTCACTGATCCAGTCAAGTGCCGTTTAAAACGGGCTAATTGGTCAGTTATGCTCCACAGCATTTGGATTAAGAGCAGAGCTGTGAAGTCAATCAGTCATATACTAGACTATGATCACACTGCTGATCACTTGACTTGTTTTTCACATCTCAGGATTTCCAGGACATTTAAGACTGACTGTTTTCAGGATGCTTTATTTGAAATAAACGTCCAAATGATAGACAATGTCATGCACACTGTCGTAGCTTGCAAATTTTCAGTAAATGAGCACATTTTGTGCAAAGAACCTTTTCCTGTTGTCTTTAAAGAAGGTCTTTACAAGCTGGAGAGCATCTAGTCACTTAATCTAGATATTCACTTCAGATATTAAAACGATTCGATTAAAAAAACAACAACTATGGCTTCTAATCCCATTCCCACAGCTTATCCTGTCCAGTCTCCACTCTGCTATGAATAAAATTGGGAAAACTTCCAAATATAAGGTTTCAAAATCTAAGGTATGGCATCTGATTTAAATGCCACATGCAAAAAGATAAAACATGTAGCCAGATGAAACGTAAGAGCCCCAAAATGCAATATATGTGAAGGAGAAACAACAAACAACGACAACATTTTAATGTAAAAATATTTTCGAGACTAGCAGTTATTCAGGTGTTTACTGACAAACGCTTCATTTTTGTCATTCTGCAGTTTCTCCTCTCTATCAGGGATTCTTTTTTTTTTTTATTTTGGCACAAAAAATGTTTAATTAGCTTTGACTGAAGCGTGATTGACCCCTCGTGTGGCTGGGAAAGAAGTCCTGACAGCATCGTGCAGGTGTGAAGTAAAACAGGAATCAGTGCAGCACCTCTGCTGGTGTGTCGAGAGCCCGCAAGTCAGGAGATCCCTGTGGGGCTGAACAAATGTGTGTGTGTGTGTGTGTGTGTGTGGGAGACACGACCAGCACGAGGTCCTGTGGCTGACAGCAGCTCCCCTGCCAGGATGTGTAACCTCACATGGCCAAAACAGGAAGCCCTGCCACTCACTTAGTGATTGACACACAGGCGGAAGTTCATAAAGGTTCTAGAAGGGCTGCAGTCCATGTTCAGGGGTTGATTTTTTGATGATTCAAAAAGTAATAAATAATATTTTTTTTAGTGAAAGTAATAAATATTGTCATAAAACAAAAAGCAAATACATGTAAAATAAAAAAATAAATAAAATAAAATAATTGCTCATCCCAAAACACCAACAACTGAAGTGTGAAACGAACTGTCTGAAAAAAAAAACTGTTTGGGGGAAAAAGTAAATAAATAAATAAAAATGCAAAAAAGAGAGGTTGGGGGGGGGGTAAATAAAATAAAATAAAATAAAGTTTTGAGCATCCCGACACAGCAACATTAGCAAAGGGGTGAAACATGCTTGACGAACAATAAACTAAACAAATAAATAAAATTAAAATTGAGAAAATACAAACAAAGTAAAATAAAACATAAAACAAAACAAAATAATTTCTCAGCATCCCAAAACCACAAAGTGTCTGAAAAAAACGGTTGGTTTGTTTGCTTTTTGTTTGGAAGGAAGGAAGGAAAGACACAGACAGACAGACAGACAGACAGACAGACAGACAGACAGACAGACAGACAGACAGACAGACAGACAGACAGACAGACAGACAGACAGACAGACAGACAGACAGACAGACAGACAGACAGACAGACAGACAGACAGACAGACAGACAGACAGACAGACAGACAGACAGACAGACAGACAGACAGACAGACAGACAGACAGACAGACAGACAGACAGACAGACAGACAGACAGACAGACAGACAGACAGACAGACAGACAGACAGACAGACAGACAGACAGACAGACAGACAGACAGACAGACAGACAGACAGACAGACAGACAGACAGACAGAAAGAAAGACAGACAGACAGAGAGAGAGAGAGAGAAAGAGAAAGAAAGAAAGACAGACAGACAGACAGAGAGAGAGAGAGAGCGAGAGAGAGAGGAGAGAGAGAGAGAGAGAAAGAAAGAAAGAAAGAAAGAAATGAAAAGAAATTAATAAAACAATTTCTCTCGTTGAGCATTCTGACAGCGATATTAGCTAAAGGGTGAAGTGTTTAAAAAAATAAATTAAAAAAATAAAATAAAGGCAAAACAAACAAAACCAAAATCAATAATAAATAAAAACTATAATAATTTATCTAATTTTTGAGTAATGCGAAACCACATTAGTTAAGGAGTAAAACTGTTTGAAAAATAAAATAAAATAAAACACACAAAACACTTTTTTAGCACCCCAACTATGCAACATTATCTAAGGTGGACAGTTTGGCAAACCTGATTGGAAAGAAAACAATCAACAAACAAACAAACAAAACACAAAGCATTTCCAAAAACCTAAAGAGCTGAAACACCAAAGAGATTTTGAGAGTCAGATGTGGAGATCTCAGTGCCAGAGAGGATCTGACCGGGTAAGAGTGTGAACAGACTGCCGTCTCACAGCTGAGAGTGATTATGACTCTTGCATCATGGGATGTGTCACACTATGACACAATGCCGGTTCACACCAAACTGCCAATTCTCAGTAAGCCCAGCCCTCCTCTCCTCACTTCTCAAGCAGAAACCGGTGTGTGCGCGCCCAGGCCTGTGACCTTGACCGTGCCTCATGCACTGTGTACACTTCAAATTGATTCACACCACGGGGAATCTGGAAATTTCCATGTGAAGCCTCAAGTGTGAATAAAATTATGTATATTCTAGTATTAGATTTCTGTTTACAGTTAGCAAAAAGGGAAAAGCAATGATCAGAACACATTATCTCTCAGATCAGACAGAGACCACCCAAACAAACAAAATATGTGAAGCTGAAGTATGATATAATGAGAGGGAAGTCATTTTATGAAATGCAATCAGAAGTTTAAAGTGTAATAACGAAACTACCAGTCTGACACAACAGAGAGGGACATGATTTTTTTGTTGGCCACCAGAGGGCTGATGTCTTTGATCATCACTCTGCTTCCTCTCAGTGTACCATGTTTTTAAGTGAAGATGATTCTCAGTTACTATATTATAAATGATTTTAAGACACTTCAGATCAATAACAGGTTGCCAACAATGTTGAAGAATAACTAAAATGCTACTTATGAACTATAAAATACTGTTTGTTTTACATACTGTAATCTGATGATATATTTTATATAAAATATTTTATTTAAAAAAAAAAAATTTTTTTGATAGTAACAGTGTACAAGTAGTGGGGATTTTGATTCAACTTAGTAACTCTTGATTTATTCAGATTTGTTCCTTGATTCATTGACTCTTTCTGCAAGTTTACAGCACGTCATGTCTGTTGTGTACGTCATGAGCAAATTATTAAATCATTCAATAAACATATTCATTACATGTTTTTATTTATTTATATTTTTGGTATTAAAAAAATCGGTGTATTTTTAAAAAAGGGAGAAACTTTAGAACAATTTGTTTACTTAAAATATTTGTTTTATTTAGTTATGAGCAAGTCACTGAATCATTCACTAAACCAATTCTTTCTTTCTTATTTTTGATTTATTTGTTATTTAGTTTTGTGCAAGTCACTGAATCATTCACTAAACCAATTCATTCGTTCGTTCGTTCGTTCGTTCATTCATTCATTCATTTTTGGTATTAAAATTGGAACATTTTTAAAAAGAGAGAACCTTTAGAACAACTTATTTAGTTAAAAGATTTATTTATCTACTTATTTATTTATTTTTGGTATTAAAATGGGCACTTTTTCAAAAAAGAGAGGAACTTTACAATGATTCATTCACAAGATTTGTTTGTAATTTAGTTACGAGCAAGTCACTGAATCGTTCACTAAACCAATTCATTATGTTGTTGTTTTTTTGTATTAATATTTGTACATTTTTTAAAAAGGGAGGAACTTAAGAACAACTCGTTCATTTAAAACATTTGTTTGTCATTTATTTATTTATGTGCGAGTCACTGAATCAACCACTAAGCCAGTTTATTAAATGATTTTTTTTTTATTTTTGGTATTAAAATTGGCACTTTAAAAAAAAAGAGAGAGAAACTGCAGAAAGATTTCTTCATTTAAAAGATTTGCTAAAAAAACAAAACACCGCTACAAGCTACTTTTTTGAAAGGGTAGTCTTACAGTAATAACATTTTAAATTGAATTTCATTGTAACGTAATCATAATTGCTTGATATATTACCTATTGACACTTGTACACATTTCTGAGCTCGAGCAAAGGGTTTGGTATGATTTTCGTGTCACTGTACAGGAAGCAAATTGATTTTCGTTTCAGATGTCAAATAACCTTGGATCCTTATTGATAGATGGGCACAGAAGTGGCGTGAGGTCTTACCTGTCCAGAGAGGTGGACACCAGTGTCAGGACATCGCAGGTCTTCATTTAAGTTGTCGTGGACACAGGGGAGGGACAGATGCCCTGTGAAGTCACATGAAAAGGAAGGTGGCAAACAAAAAGATTTGTGGTTAAAATTTGCAAGATGATACAAATAAACTGGGTGCAACTCTTCTATTCAACTGTCCAGCCAAAAGAAATACAACAATCCATCGCACAAGCTAATATTTCACTGCACATCAATATAGTACAAGCTATATTTTTAAAACCTTTCATCAAACGCCCGCAGAAAAAAAGACACACAACACCACTATGTTGATAGTGAATAAATTCCTCAAATTTATGGCCGACTTGTGTTTAGATGCTATGATAGTATGGTAGGGATGAGCACAATCTTTGCCTCCCATCCCAGAGGGCTCAGTCCCCAACTGGTGGGGTCTCTGTGTGCCTATAAATCTGGGGGCACTTCGTAATACGCATCGAGTCTAAGACATTAGGCCTGTGAGCAGCATATCCTGAATACATACTTTGTGCATCAGTGCTACTGCTTCATTCAAGAGTCACTTACTATTGAAGTGAGAAGTCAAGTAAGCACTATAGAATGGTTTTCCTCACAATGAACAATCATTGACTTCCATATACAAAGAACAGTTGATTTGTGTAAGTGGAGCAGACGTGTGAGAGCTCGACTTCACTTTATGTCAAATTTACACTTTACAGTCCAAGTAGAAATAGATCTCTTTGTATGTGCGAACTTACAATTGTGCCACTGTGTGATGAAGAAAAAATGCATTGACAGGAAGATTTGAAAGAAGTTCTCAGAGTAAGTCACAGAGAAAACATCAAATAGACTGCAAGTAACCATAAAAAGCTAATGAAAATAATACAATACAAACTCCTTTGAAGATTCCACAGTGAAGAAAAGTTTACACAACAACACACACACACACACACACACACACACACAC